ATATGGGTAATTCAGACCAAAAAATGTTATTACGTCATATATAAAATTGGTCCGAGTTCAAAAATAATTTCTCATATAAATAAAGTAAAATCGCTTACGTCATCTGGTGATTGACCCCAATTCTCCCCTGTGCCACTTTCTTTTCCAATTCCTAAAGATTCAAACATCAGCGCAATAATTTCACCACTAGCAACGCGAACCTCCATAGTACTAGATTCAAGCTGTTTAATAAGACTTGGCATAATACGTTCAAATTCTTCTCTGGCTTTATCTGATCCTCTTTTGTTATCACTCCATAGCCCAGAAAACAGTAAGCCATAAGCATTTAGAGCGCTTTCTATGACACCTCCTTCATTATTCGCATTAACGCTTTTACCATTAGTCAATATAATTTCGTTAAAAAAATCGAGAAGCTCTATGGCATCAGCGTATGAAGCTGCAATAAAGCAAGTTAAACTCAACGTCTGAATACACTATATATTAAAAACAAAAATATTAAAAATATTAACATGTAAAATAACTATATCCATTATTCGTAAACTAAATAGATCATCCTTTCTGATCTACTTTTATAAATGTCTGATACAATTACCACAACCAATATATCAATATTTGTTATAGAATTATGTACTTACTGCACACTTGACTTCCTTTGATGTATTATTTGTTGTTGTATATTTTAATAAAGATAGTACATTATGATACATAGTTTCTTCGCTTTCACCAATAGTAATAAAAAGTAAAGACATCACTAATTTTAATAATAATTAAATTTAAGATAAACTTCTAGCATTTTGACGTCAAATAAAGTATATATAGGTATATTTTTTTCACTTACGAACCTTTAGCAGCTAATCGGCTTTCTTTGTAACTTTTATCCTTCCTAATCGAGCGGCACAAAAGATCAAGTAAAGTATCCCGCCTAGTATTGAGGAGATCTGCAGCATACTTATGAGAGAGGAAGCGGATCAACTTTGTTAAAGATCCTTCTCTTGTACTATTTGAAAATTTTCAATATTTTTTAAATAAAAATTATAGTTTTAGATTGTTCCAATTCCAGAAACCGTAATACGAATAATACGATACCTTGTTCTTTTTTCTCCTAAATCCTCAATAGTCTGTAAAACTTCGTCTTCCCAATTTACTTCTTCCAAAATTCCATCTTCAGCATTCTTACTACCA